TTTCTCTCTGGCTCTCCTCGTCCTACAGCTCCGTCGCTCTTTTCCCCTCTTAGAGCTTCACAACCATGGCAGCATCGGCTGCTGACGACTTCGTTGAGATTCGCTGCTGCCCCGCTGCGACTCGTTTTTCCCCGGTTCTAAATCTTCTGCAACTCCATCGCTCTTCCCCCTCCTAGAGATTCGCGAACATGGTGATGGCTGCGGACGAGTTTGTCAAGAGATTATTCATTCTGAAGACCTTAGTGCTCCGATTGCTTTTCTCTCTCGTCACTTTCGTTCATTAGTACTTCTTCAGTCCAATTGTTAATTCTTGATATGAATTGAGTGGACAATGGAGAGTTTAATTGATATGACTTCAATAGCCTGTTATGTCGATTTGTAATTGTTTAGCTCCAGGAGAAGAGCTATTTGTCAAGTTTGTTTCCAATTTGTTTCTGATAAATCAAACCACACATAAATTATAAACACACCAAAAATATAATTAAATTAAATTAAACTTCCCAACACTTAATTAGGTAAGTTTACCCTTACACACCAGAAACTTCATAAAACAAACTACAAACAGGGTAAAACAAACCATAAAAAAGCATACCAAAAACCTCCCAATGCATGCCACAAATTCCATAAAACAAATCAGAAACACCACAAACCAAACCACAAATATTTTGAAAGCACACCAGAAAACTCATAACGCAAACCATAAATACCGTAAAGCAAACCACAAAAACAAACCAGAAACGTCCTAATGCAGACCAAAAATATATTAAAACAAACCAGAAACCTCACAAAGCAAACCACAAAATTTTCAAAAACACACCAGAAACCTCATAATGCAAACCACAAACACGTTAAAGCAAACCACAAAAACAAACCAGAAACCTCCTAATGCATACCACAAATCTCCTAAAACAAACCACAAACCACTCAATGCAAACCACAAAATTTTTGAAAGCAAACCAGAAACTTCTCAATGCAAACCACAAACACGATAAAGCAAACCAGAAACTTCTCAATGCAAACCACAAACGCGATAAAGCAAACCACAAAAGGCATACAAAAATGTGAGAAACCAAACCATAAATCTCACAATGAAGACCATAACATCCGGTGGTCGTTGACCGTTGACCGGTCAACGAAGTTCGTTGACCGAACTCCGTTGACCGTTGACCGGTCAACGAAGTTCGTTGACCGAACTCCGATGACCGTCAGTTACCGGATTCCGACCCCGATGACTAGATTCCGACGCCAGTAAGCATATTCCGACGCCGGTAAGCATATTCCGGCGACGATGACATATTCCGATGACAGAAAAGCATATTCCGGCGACAAAAAAGCATATTCCGGTGACCGGCGACCGGTGGCCTAATTCCGGCGACCAACTTTTTTGGCCGAAAATAAAATAATATTTTTTATTTTTTTGTTATTATTTAAATATATTTTTCATAATGACAATTATACCCCTGCTTTGATTTTACACTAGGTCAACTCATCTAATAAAAAGTCATCACAACCCTAACTTCCTATTGGTTGAAGACTAGTGTTGTTACAATAACAACAAAATATGTGTTGTTATAATAACCGCTCCCGGACCAAAACCTGTGATGTGAATCTGAGCATCCCCAACCATGGGTATTTACTGTCAAATCCATGAACCTGCTGAATTAGGATGTAGATTCCACAATAATCTCACTTTAATTTTGTATTTCTTGATCCAAGCCACCCACAAAGAACCAACATATGCCAACATATTCTAGATATGACGGATTACATAGGCTTTATTCAATGTTTTGAAGTCTCTTTAACCCCAAACCTCATTCATTCTTCAACAGTGGTAGTTTGGCCCAGGCCACTACATCTCTTTTTCTCCCCTTATCACCATGAACTCCCCATAAATACTTGTTACAAGCTTCTTCGATCATTTTCAAGACTTTCAGGAAGGATAAATATAGTCATCAAATATTGGAACACACTAGGAATCACATAAGTGATCATCCTTACATAAATGAGCATTTTAGCCTGCTAATTACCATGTTCTTATTTTTGCAATATTTTAGTCCACCAGAACTAGGTGGGCTTGTGAAGTAATCTTTCTAGAAAACAATAGCACACCAAGGTATCTAACTGACACAGAGCTTAAGGAGAAACCAGTATACTGCGATATATCATACTTCTCTTCTTATGAAACCCCAACACAAAACATGTGACACTTGCCCAAATTACATTCAATACATAAATAATATAGAATTTATCCACTAACCACTTAACATCATTCACTTCTCTAACAAATCCATTAGTAAAGACACACAAGTCATCTGTAAAGTATAAGTGAGGGATCTCTAACGCTTTGCATCTAGATGATATGGTATTTGTTCAGTATCGACTTCATATTCCATTAAATAGGAAAAAATTTCCATTGCAACCGTGAATAAATATGGGGAAAGGGAATTTCGTTGACGCAATACTTTTCTTATTGGGAAAGACCCATAGAGGCAACCATTAAACTACACACTCAATCTAGGAGTGGTAACACATTCTTCAAACAGCTTCACCACTCTAGAGGAAATCTCATATGTTTCATTACTTCAATAAAAAAATTCTAGTTAACGGTCAACAAAATTGTCGGAACATAAATGACACACAACTATCATAGGTGGGGACATAAATGGAATATTGAATAGTTCGTAACACAAATCGCACTTTCTTGATAGTTCGGGTTTTCTAGTGTATTGCTCCTTTATCAATTACAAACCGTAACTAACAATAAGAAATGGTAGGTTGGATTTGAGATGGTTTTCAATTAATCCATTATTAGAATGTGGTGTTGATAACACCTAAATTGGTGTTATTTGCCCTTCATATTGATGTTTGTTTTGTGCCAATTCATCTGCATAATAGCTTGAGCATCATCAATCACATCTGCATGTTGTTCCTATTTGATTTCGATGTGATTTTAGGGTGTGTTAGACGATAATTGAGAATTAGGTACCAAAAAAGTCACAAGTGTAGCAAGGGGGCAGAAGCGTGAATATTGTGGCCTATAAGAAAAGATCACGGCCGAGATCATGGACCGCGAAGTCAAGCTGAAGATCGTGGCCTGGAAGACGTAGATCACGACTACGAATTGGAGGGCTCAGGGTGCGAACTTCGCGAAGAAGGAGCCGGGAAAAAATAGAAAGTTTCCCCAGTCGAATCATGGCCATAACATATTTTGACCGTGAAGAAGATCGTGGTCGCGGCTGCAGAGCCTCGCTCGCGATCTCTGCATTGCCGGCCGCGAACTTCTCCATCCTCTGATTGCTTATAAATAGAAGACTCATTTCCCCCTTTCAAGGGAACTTATTTTGAGAGAAGATTTCCTGGTTTTAGAGAGAGAGAAGCTAAAGAAAGGAGAAAAGGAGAAGAAGGGGAAGGAGCTAGAAGAGAGGAGGCATCTTCCTCAACATCAAGTATTTTTTCATCTCTTCTATGTATCTTTTTTTCTCCTTTTGTGGAGTAGTCCTCTAAGGTAATAGGGGGCTTTAAACCCCAAACCCTATTTTAGGGTTTACTATGTATGTATGGATATTTTAGGATTTGAATGAATGAATGTGTTTATCTAATTGATTCTATTGCTAGTCTATCATTGATTGTGCTTGGGTAAGTCTCCATAATCTTCTCTATTAGCCTACTTTATGCATCTATGCTGGGTATGGAATTCTAGGGTTAGACGGGTATGCGCCATCAAGCAAATTGAGATAGATGTATGAATAGGGACCTTTGGTGGTCGAGGCGACCGCCCTGCCATAGGTAGACTTCCTAGACAGAACCAGGGATAAAACCTCGGTGTGGATGGTGGATAGTATCCATTGAAAGGAGCTACAAGTTTAGTGTCCCAGATACGATAGCATAGATCAAGGTGACTTTATATGGGTCTAGGGGAGGCATACTCGGAGGTGTGTGGATAACCACGAAAGCCCACGGAAACGAGCTCACTCACCACATTCGAGAACCCTAAGTATCTAGACATTACATAGTAGCCCTAGGCTAGGATGAGGGATAGCTCCCCCAAAGTAGCTACTTTTATCTTTATCAATCTCTAAACTAGTTAATTCGCTCAAATCCTCCACCCAAACCTCCAAAACTGATCCACTAAATAACAACGAGGTGGGAAGTAGGCTAGGGTAGTAAAATACGATCTTGATTGCCATTATACGACAATGTCATCTTAGGTTAAACTTGGCTTAGAATGAGTTAGTTGTTGACATGTGCTAACCATTGACAATAACTTGCACGGAAGTAAGTGATCAAACTTTTTGGCGCCGTTGCCGGGGAAGTGGGGAACCTTGATGACTAGTAGAAAACCAATAAGTTGTTAGTTTAGTCTTTCCTTTGTTTTGTTTGTTTTGTGTTCTAGTTTGTGTTTTTGTTTGTGTTTCGTTTTGTGTTTTGTTTGTATCTTTGCCAAGGAACCTGTAGACTCTTCCATGAAGGAAACAACAGCTTTGTCGCCCATATTGTTGGTATTCCTTGGCTCGCACGCAATTTTTTGTAATCAATTTTGGGTCCTGACTAATTTATTCGGCTGAGATGTTTGTTCCAAGATTGGGTGTAGTGACGACCCAAAGTTCATATATGTGGTTGTGCACTTCAATTAGGAAATCAAATCATTTACTTCGACACTCGATTTCTTGGATTTTATGTACGGTATTATTTTCAACATTATTTTTCGTTTGCTTTAGTTTGAGTCGACAAGTACTGTGATTGTTATTATTTTCTTAAGGTTACTATTTTCCCTTAGTTTGGCTTGCTAATGAAGCAATTAGCCTTTTCACCTAGTTCCTACCAAAGATGAAAGTAGTCGATCATTTTCTTGGGAAGTTAGAAAGAGGAGGGTACTACATTAGATATCGAACACATCTTGATGACAATTTTGTTAGTTAGGTCCAACATTGATTGTTATCATATGACATCTTATAAATTAGTGATAAGCATGTCATGTAGTTGTGGATTAGTTAAAAAAAGGACGATACTTTACTAGGTAATAGACATTATATTCCAGAGTTTTCATTATGTTTCAACATGGTTGCATGATTTACAAAATTGAAGATCGAAGCAGGTGCCATCCTAAGCTGACGCCACCCTTCATGAAATCCCACGTTGTCACCAACGTAGAATACTCATTCTACCGTGCAACATGGTGAAACGTGCTGGCTTATCATTGGGGGTTCTAACCAACTTATAGATGAAATGAAAATGATCATGTTTACACAATAGATGGCATTTGATCCCTGTGTTGATAGATGCACACAGGATACAAAGAGTCGATCTCCAATTCTCTTTCCTTCCTAGTGTACACCAATTGAGAGAAACGCAAGAAAAAAAAGAGAGGGAGGGAGAACATCACTCTTACTACTTCTGCACACCTACACGATCAGCTCGTCTTCAAGGTAATTGTACTCGAACGTGAACTCCGTCTTGATTCTCTGACACCTGAACAAAGGGGCAAGTAGGATCATGAAGCTCTTCCTTAAAAAAAAAACAAAAAAAAGTGACAGTATATGGTCTGGGGACTAAAGAAGATTCGAAACTCAACATACCATCCGTGCTGATGATCATCATTGGCGATGTGGAAATCGAAATACACGTACGTCCCTTGTTCATACTCGTCAGTGGCAACCTTGGGTTCTTCATGTCGCTGGAACCAGGTGTTGTATTTTCTGTGATATCTCCACGATCCTTTCTTCAGCTCCCTTGCAGCCAAATATTGTTGATACGTGTTCTGCAAACAAGATACACAGCTCAGGTAACCTAATTGGCGGGGCTCAAATCAACGAGACCGAAACCACTTTGTAATATCCTCTATCACCTGTTGGTAGTAAAATGCAAAGAACAAGGTGTCGGTGCCGTAACTATCCATGGTCAGCCTCTCCCAGAAGGCAGGGTTGTTTACGATGGGAGCCTGAACTTGAGGGAAGCTGGATGGCGTTATAGCAGGATGCCTCTGTAAAAGCATTAGATAGATACCATTATTTTTTTATAATGAAGATAGATACCATTATTATAGTCAGACGTTCCAGCACTTTCCCCCCTGTTATAGATTTTAATCAGAAATAAAGTTGGATAGGATAAGTACCGGGATATAGCTCCTTGCACGTTCTGAGTCTTTGGGTTGAGGGAGTTTGTGATACGCAGCCTCTAGCATCTGCAAATTGTAACTGTTGTCATGCAGTGGACCGGGACTTGCAGCAGGTGAAGCGAGACTATCGCCAACGGCACCAAGGTCAGCTACGCTTCTGCGACCGATCACACCTAAACCACTGGTTGTTTGTGTAGAAGGCTGTAAGGGTTGCCCGGGAGAGAGATCGGTGTCTCTTGGCACTTGAACAGACAGCTCTGCCAAAGAACTCGATATCTGCAAAACATAGTTAATAGCAACTCAATGATAGACCATGATTATCATTTCAAAAATATTATTCACTTTGACTTGGCAATGAAACTGCGTTCACGTTGAACTAGAAATTTCACTTTTTAATTGGAGATCATAGTTTTTATACATACATTGTCCATTGGGTGGGGAGCTTTAAGCTCATCATCACTGACAAGACTTTTACCCAGTCCTGTTGTAGAAGCAGATTCAGAGGCTGAGTCATCGGTTAAATTCAGTGATTGCTGTTGCTCCTCAGGTTTCATATGACTAGCATCTACATATTTATGGACAGAATTGTAGTTGAAGGTCAATATAAATAAAAGAAATGAACAGACAAGAACCAGAAGTGGTACTTAGAGGGTACCACTATCTTTTAAACCACTTGGTGTCACAACTGGTTGACTAGACTGTTGATGGATTGAGTTTGACTGCTGCAAAGTAGTGGGTGTAGCATTGCTTAGCCCTGGTGCTTGAATGCTAAGCCCTAGTGTAGCTTGCGAGGAGAGAGATGAGCTTTGAGAGTTATACTGAAAAATCCACGTGGAAATACAAACTTTTAGTAATAAAAGAAAACTGTAACTTCAATGAAGGATAAAGGCCAAGCAAGAAAGAGTTGGACCAGACTCTACAGCAATCATGCTCAATAGCCAAGGATCCACAACATCTGAACCTGGAACCACTTGGTGGTTGAACCAAAGAAACTAGAGCACCTAAAGACTCATTGCCTCAAATGGTGGCCATATATGTCGATTGGCCCAAGTAAACTTGGAAGATATACCCCAGAAATTTTCCAGACAGGAAATGCACCTGTTGCAAAAGTGGGTTTTGCTGTGTTGGGAACTGCTTATGACTGCCACCAGGAAGAGGAGGCATGCCGAGCAGGTTGCTATGACCTTGCTGGACTTGCTGAAAACGTTGCAAGAATTTCTCTCTCTGATCAGGGGCTATTTCAGTTCGAGCTCGAAATTGACCCTGAAACAAAATCTTCAAGTTATTTCACATAATATATCTGAAATAAGCCATACCAAAGTGGTATACAAAGCCCATATTCAAATAGAACGATTAGGGGTGGGCAACGGGACGGGACGGGTATCCCGTCCCGTTTTAAACGGGTACCCAGTCCCATTTGGAGACCAAAGTCCATCCCATATCCCAAACTCATATGGGAAACGGGTACCCATTACCCGTACGGGACGGATAACGGGTACCCATACTACCCATAAATACCCAAAGTTTAAACCACTAAAATTTTAACAAAAGTTTAAACTTAACTTGTATTTGCTTAACAATCACAAGACACAAAATACATCCCAATCACAAATACTTGGTTTGCAAATTACACATTCATGAACAATCACAACATAGAAATAAATCATTCCAAGTACCAAATTATATAAAAAAAAAAGTTTCATTCAACACATCCCAACTCTCTCTACTAATTCACCAAACATGTCAGTGAAAGAGTGAAAGGGTAAGGGCCCAAATGGAATTGAAATTGAAAGGGTAAGAGCCGAAATGGCCAATGGGTTTTGAATTGGGTTGGGCTGAATTAAATTTCTGCATTTGTATTGAATGGGTATAACGGGTACCCATATTACCCAAACGGGTATTCGCGGGTAACCCGCGGGTACCCATATTAGGAATGTTCAATCCCAAGTCCCATCCGTTTATAATATTACGGGTAATGTGGGTACCCGTAACCCTTAAAAAATGGGACGGGTACGGGTATACCCAAATTCCCGTTTCCCGTTGCCCACCCCTAAGAACGATGCTACTTTTCAAGGCTGGATCTGGCACCTTCAAAGAAGCACATATATATATTTTAGAGCTGATATGCATTAATTAGGAGCAAAGAGCTACCTGTTCGTTCTGAGTCTGAAACGAACTTCCAGGTCTCCATTGCATGCCAGGCACGCCAGGAGGAGAGAAGACTCTGCCACCTAACCCAGCACCTTCATTGCCAGAATCTACTACACCAGTTCCATCATTGGCCTTGCCAGCTTGAGGCAAAATCATCCGATTACTTAATGGGGAATTCAAAGACTGAACCATTCCAGTGTTTCCAATTCTATCATCAGTCCCCAAAATATTTCGCTTTGTCACATCAGAGACTGAAGGTACTGCACCAAGAGCTCCATTGCTAGGAACTGTACTAGAAGTCAGAGGGATACTAGTCGGTGGCTGGCTAGTGAGGCCACCTCGGCCAATGCCCCTCGTTAGTCCAGGATCGCCAAGCGCGGGTGATGAAGGAATAGAAGCAGCAACATTTTCTCCAGCACCTCGAGCAGGAGATGGACTTGGAATAACTGCAGGAGCAGCTATCATGGCAGATAACGGATTAGCAGGAACACTCACAGGAGTTACATGACTAACAGATGGGGTTGATGGAACAGAAGAACCCATGATGCTGCTCTTTGCAGGTGGGGTTCGAGCAACAGCTTCAGAATTGCTGTCTTGCGAAGCTGTATCTTCAGCTGGCTCCTGGACAGGGGTGGTACTAACAGCCGTCTGGAAAGAAAACACAACATTATTGCATGGAGACAAGGCATGCAAGACTACCAATAAGGCACATGCACACATACAGGTATTTGGGGTGGCGCAGAAACTGTCAGGGAGGTAGACTTCAAGCTATGTACTGGTGCACCCTACAAGAATACAAAAGGTTTAACTACTTCAATGAAGCTGCTAACAGGAGACCAAACCAAAGTGATTCTGTAGTACTTTCCCATTTCAACATAAGTGAATCTATACTTGCATCACAGATCACCTCTAAATTGCTGTACCTCATAGATGAACAGAGCACAGTGCTAATTTACCTTGACAAGACCAGGAGGAGCAATTGGTACAAGATCTTCAAGGGATTCCACCTTGTCTAAAGGCAATGAGCTATAGAGCTCATCTACATCACTGAATTCATCAAAATCCTCCTACAACAGATGACAGAACAACAGCTAAAAAACCTTTAGAAACTGGAAGCTAAATCACCATATATGGTTATCTAAACAACAGTAAAGAACTAAAAAGGACCATAACACTAGTACACACAGTTGGACAAACACCTGGTTGCGCTCCACATAGTCATCAATGAAGTCTTTAACATCATTGACCTGCTCAGCACTCAACTCGTCGTTATCAAGTAGCCTCAAGATCAACTCTAGCTTCATTATATGAGCCTTGTGTCGTTGAATAGATGCCTCTAAATGCGTCTGACAAACAAATCCAGGTAATTCATTAATTTCCATAAAATAACAGCAAATTTCGAAAAAGCTTTTCCCTTATCGCTCACCAATCTGGGAGGCCTTGTCTTTCCTTTCTTCACGGTGAGACCTTCTATTTCAGCTTCAAAGCTATCAATCTGAGATTCTAACTCGCTGACCTACTCAAGAGCAAAACAAGTGAGAACAATCAGTTAAGCATTAGTTAAAAAAGTTCACATGCAATTCTTCTTTCGTGTAATGAATTTTAAGTTATCACATAAACCATTTACAACTGAGCAACTGACGTTCCCTTGGAAGACACTAACAGGACAGAAGAGGGAGAAATAAACAGAAAGGACCAATATCTATAAGAACTCTTATGCCTTGGATTGATATCCTTGTCATGAACAATTTGTCAACTTGTCAAACATGCAGAGCCTTAAAGGTTCAAAAGCAACCAAAGTCAAGTTTTCTGCGCGTGGCAGATCTTGCAGGTAAACAGCATGCAGATTCTACTGTTGTTGCAGCATTCTTAAGCCAAATCCCTCCTTTCAAATGCAACTGTAACACCAGCAACTAGAAAAAAGAAAACATGCATCAACAATTTGTTCTTTTCACATACCATATTGTTCAGCCAATCCCTTGTCTCTGCTTTAGCCTTCTCCCTTGGATCCTATAAGAATATATAGAGAAGAATCAAGCAAAACAAACAATTCTCGTGCATAATGATCAATCTTTTTTATTATGAAACACATAATGTGTAACGTTATCCATTCGAGCATGGAACAATGTCGAAAACTCAAAGTTTAACAAACAAACAAATAGGGAGCAAACAGTACGCAATAAAATTTATTACAATGAGGCGGCAAAACTATATAACCGTCATATTAATCCAATGGGAAATGGGGTTTATTACTAAGGCCTTGACGATCCCACATCAAACACAGTACTTTATAGATAACCTCAGGTTTTGCTGCCTTCGTATACATAAGCCTGGGCATCAGACATGAAAAAAAGATGCGGTAAGCATAGAGGCTTACAGTCTTAGGTTGTTGACCAAGCCCTTCTTTTGAGAATGCTTTTGTCTTAGTTTCCTTTTCGCATATCTTAAATCTTTCCATTTCACGTTCAATCAGCTTACGCGCATCCACCAGTGCCTGCTCATAAGAGGCGCTAACCTATTGCACAAGGATCCGAAAATGAAAAGGGAAAAGATCAGCCACTATATCACATGAAACTATAAGTAAAACAAAGTACCAGTGTAATGCAAGGAAGTAAAGCAAAGCAGGAAGCAGTAACACTTCAACCATATGACCCCCTGCTCTGAAAACCGTGCCGAACCTAAACCCATAGAATGAATTAGCAGTGTGCACTAAACTGAACACAAACCAAAGATTTTAAGTAACACACGGCCTCAAACGTTCCATCCCCACCTCCTGTCAACTATAGTTCATCCAGTTCTGAGTTAAGATTTACGACCTAGCATAATTCATTTGTTCCAAATCTCACACAATCAAACAGATACCGGTTCTGGAAGACCATGAATTCAACAAGATGAAAGACACCTGACCTTTTTATCCTTGATCTCACTAGACTGGATCCATGTCTTGATCTGGTCTCTGTATCTCTGCAGTTTCTTGATCTCCTTTTTCAAGTCTGCCTCAAACTTCTCTTTCTGATTTGCATTGTCGGTATCATAAACCTGAAACAACAATGGACCACATAAGCAAAAGAAAATGAGCCCCGGCATAGATGATATATATGATAACACAGATAATGAAGCTGTTCAATGAGGCTGTCTTGTTCAATCGTCATATCTAATACGAAAATTGGATAGTGTGCTCTCAAATCATGGATATAGCTGCTCGTTCGAATTCTTCATTCCAACAATAGTATCAAAAGAGAACAAATGCCTAATTGCAGAGAAAACCAATACGAACTCCTACAGTCAAGAACTCAAAATGGAGTGCTTCAATAGCCTGCATTATCTCTCCATTTCCACCTCCATTCCGGGCATTCCAAGCCACAGTTCGTAGAACATAACGAAATCTCCTAGTCGCACAGTTGAAATTTCTGCGGAAGGCAAGAAGAAGGAAACGAACTGGGAATGGAAGCGAGAACAAGGAGGAGAGAGCAGAGGCAAGACCTTGTTCCAGATGCTGTCGAAGACATCTACACCTTCTTGGACCTTCTTCAGTACCCGATCGATCTCTCCCTGTAGCTTCCGACTCGCTCCCATTGCCAAAGGATCTTCAGAAATCCAGTCTCTGTCTGATTATCATCCAAGGAAGTCAAATACGATGGCTGAATTAGAATTGAACTGCAGTGAAGTTGAGATTCTCTGTTGTTCTAGCGATTTAGGGTTTCTTTAGTTTCCTGATTCTCGGTTGTGGAGTTGGAGCAGATTAGCGACGATAACTGGAACGCCGATAGACGGAGCAAAGAATAGCAGACAGAAACAAGATGAGAGGAGAAATGTAGCTGCTTCGGGTTGGGCGTCTCGTCTTATGCGTGTTGTGAGTTGGGCTTGTAATGAACTTTTTTGTTCTTCAGCGACCTCCGGTCAGCCTGTTGGAAAATGGATTATTCTTAATAATTTTGGGCTGCCAATTTTGTCTGGAGTCAATCAAGAACAATGGAGTTTTAAAGAAGCCCGGCCCGTGGCAGGAGGAAGAGATTTATATTTATAAGATGTGTTCAGGAACAGGAAGAGGTTTACTTTATACAACTAAGTGAACACAATCTACAAAATACTGTAAGATAATGTCAAAAAAAGCTTTTGTTACGTCACCTTTTGCTAAAACGACCGCACAGTTTGTAGGGTTTTTTATGTAAATTCATACTCCTTTTCTTCGTCGCTGTATTTTTTCATTCTTCTGCTGGAAACTAGATAGCTCTTTGACGGTTGTCTCGCCCAAAGCTCAATTAGAAATATAAACCCTGAATTGGAAGGACCGGAACCTATCTCAATCGCCGGACTCTTCCCAACCACAATTTGAAATTGAAATCACTCGCCCTCCTTTTTGCCACTCTCAATCTGACCGGCGAAATCTGTATCGATCTTGCCCTAAGCTCAATAGGAAGGACCGAAACCTATCTCAATCGCCAACTCTTCCCAACCACAATCTGAAATCGAAAACACCCGCCCTCCTTTTTGTCACACTCAATCTAACCCGCGAAATCGCCCTCCCTCTTCCAAAGGGAAATCTATACAATTGGTAACTAATCTGGTTGATTAATGTGTTTCGGCCCTTGAAGATTGACCAGCAGTATCAATTCTCATTATCAAATCAGTCTGGCTGTGTCTTAGGGGATTAAGGCTCAATTTCTCAGTTGGTTTCCCCTGGGTGTGCTACGACTGCAGCAATGTCGCCGAAACGTCATCATGGTGACAATTCTTCTGGCCCAAACAATCCTCCATTCAATTCTAACTCAAATCGTATTACCAAAAATTCACATGTTATCTTTATCATTGTTGTGCATTTGAAATTTGAGATTATTTTTTTAGACAAATTGACCATTGTAATTTACACAAGGTGAAAGTTGTACTACATAGATGGACCCACAATGATAATCATTAATATTTATATTTTCTTATATAAAATAAAGTATTATTCTTTTTTTTTTTAAAGCATGGAAGAAAAAAAGGGAATTTGCTGAATCGGGGAAAAAGTGCTTTGAGGAAATAGGAGCGTCGTGGAGAGAATCGAGTCGAGCTAGGATTTTTACGCTTTCGCGATGCCGACGGTGATCTCACCGCTGGCCGGGTGTGGCTCCGGCACCTCCCCCCAAACTGACATGATAGCTAGGCAATGCCGACCACTATCTGTTTCGTCATCCCCGAGTCCTAAGGGAGATCGGGAGGCACAACAATCTAAGAAAGGAGCCAAACCTACGATGCAATCGATACTGGCGGAAAACGAAACTAATGAGATTCTAGAAGATGTTTCGGCAGGAGGTGCTGAGAATCCTGAATGGACCAACCCCCGACCTTTTGCCTGGGGAGCTGGCCAAGGAGTAGTGCGCCGTCTCTTTAGTGATCTGCTGAGGACAGATGAATGGTACATCGTCAAATCCGACTCCGAAGACACAACGACAACCATTAGAGAGGATGGACATGATGAGGGATTTGTGGAGGAGGACGACCCGATTTGCCCACCCATCCACTTTACTGCTGTCGAGGAACGCAACTTCTGTAGGAAGTACATGTCCACCCTTGTAGTGAAAGTTCTGGGCAAGGCGTCTTCCTACACGGGTATCTCAAAATGGCTAAACGCCATATGGGCGAAGGCGGGTGGGATTCAAGTCGCATCTGCGAAGAACGGGTACTATATAGTGAGGTTCGCGGATGGCATGAACTGTGATAGAGCAGTTACGGGAGGACCCTTGATGATGGACGAAAATTATCTCACAGTTCACATGTGGGATAGGAACTTTAACCCTTATCGACATGAGATATCATCAACTCTGGTGTGGGCGAGACTGCTGGAGCTCCCTATTCACTATTTCCATCCTTATGCAGTTATGCAGATTGAGAGACGAATTGATAAACCTATCCGGGTAGACCAAGCCACAACTACTGGCGTAAGACTAGACTATGTCAGGGTCTGTGTTCAGATGGACCTCACAAAACCCCTACTGCCGCAGTTCAAAATTCTTGGGATAGATACGACGGTCTTGAGAAGATATGCCTCAAGTGCGGCACATACATGTAGAGGTCCAACTACTTACGTGTGAATCTGCCTGAGAATATAGAAACAGAGAATACTACAACACAGGAATCACTTATGGCATCTGAGGATGGTCCTTATGGTGAGTAGATGATAGCCAAGCAGAAACCGCAACCCAATCAGCTAGACACCAGCTCATAGGGGGAAAAAGTGACACAAAAAACAAGCATACCACTGGTGAGAAGAGTACCCCCCAAGACTCGGGTGAAGGCCAGCCAATGGGGTCCCGATTCCAAGTACTCACTGAGGATACAATTGAGGTCACTCAGGTGGATTCCACTAAAGTAAATGATGTGGTGCATTGACCACCCAAGCAAACCACGAGGGATGCATCGAGAGAGGCTCCTAAAGCCACTCAACTAAGGGCAACGGAGAAGTAGAAAGTGAACACCCCTGACCCGACGAGGATCCTTCAGTGCCCTCCTATGTCGATTGATGTGTCAAGCGGCAAAGGAATTGAGCCAAGCCTGAGAACTAAACAGTTTCCTCCGCACCATATTTCACCGCCATGCATCCCATGCATGGGGGTCCCGACCTATAGCAGGGAGGGAATAACATCCATACCAAGTGAAAATGATAATTGCGCGAGGGTTTTAGCAAATAACCAAACACTGGCCAGTGCTGCCCTTGGGAGACCACGAATGACCCTCTATAAGAGGAGGCGGATCTGCATGTGACAAAAATGATTTCTACACTCAATGAGATATAATTTGGAAGCGGAAACATCTTCTTCTCCTCTGAGGTTTAAACCAGGGAAGTACCCTCTCACTCCTTGTCTGATGGATTTTAATATTTTTGCTTGGAATTGCAGGGTGGCGAGTGGCGAGGTTTTCCTCCGTGCATTTAGAGAGTATCATCGTAGATACATGCCTAAGATTGTTATTATCGTGGAACCTAGGATCAGCGGTGACACTGCAAGTCGAGTTATCCGAGATATGAGATATGATAGTAAGGAAATTGTTGATGCTATCGGGTTCTCAGGGGGCATTTGGGTGCTGAGACTTGAATGAGATTAGTATTACTAGGATTTATGCTCATAGGCAATTCATCCATGTCCAGATACAGGGGCTTGGTGTCAGAGACCTTCTATGGGTGCTGACGACCGTATACGAGAGCCCTACGCCCATTCCCCCTCGCCAGATTTGGGAGAAATTGAGGAGCCTAGGGGAGGACCAACATCAACCTTGGCTTCTCGTGGGTGACTTGAATGCAATCCTCCACCAGTCGGACATGGTGGGGGGAATTCCCTTTGATTCGGCTAGAGTAAGGGACTTCCAAGACTGCATCAATGATGTGGGGCTGGCATATTTGGGTTACACGAGGCCTCCTTTGACTTGGTTTCGTCATGGAGTACGCGAGAGACTGGACAAGGGACTTGCTAATAATATTTGGCTCATAGCGTTCCGTGAGACCACGGTCAAACATCTCCCACATATCAAGTCGGACCATATACCGATTTTTGTGTCTCTTTAGAACTATACGCGGCCTGGGTGTCCAAAACCATTTCAGTTTTTGGCTGTTTGGCTGACTCGTCCAGATTTCCAGCGAATGGCAGAATTGGCATGGGTGAAAGGGGTTGACTACTTACAACCGGCTACAGTCTTATCTCAGGAGGCCACCCAATGGAACAAATCTGTCTTTGCCCATATTTAGAGAAGGAAGGATGCACTGCTAAGGCGCATAGAACCGCTAGAGTGAAGATATGAGGTGAATGTCGATGGTCCAGATCTTGAGCAGGCTAGGGAGGATTTGGAACTAGTTATATTTCAGGAAGAGAAAACCTGGTGCCAAAAATCTCAGTTATAGTGGATCCCCATGGGAGACAAGAACACAAAATTGTTCCACACTCGTACCGTCCGGCTCAGGAAAAAATAGAATTCTTGCTTTAAAAGGAGATGATGAGGAGTGTATTGATGACCCACAGGAGCTCCAAAACCTTGCACGTAACTTCTTCATGACTCTATTCACCGATGAAGGGGGAAGGGTAAACTACTGGAAAGTGACTTCCCCAACTTAGAGAATAATGAGTGGACTCCTCTAGACATGATGCTTGTCCCGGATGAGGTTGCGAGGGTAATTCGAGGGATGGGATCACTCAAGGCACCAGGTTCATATGGGTCAAATCCCTTATTTTTTCAAAAGTGTTGGTGCATTGCATGTGACTTAGTGGTCAAGATTTTTCAGGCTTGCTGGCAGGATTCGTAGCGGGTACGCAGTATCAACAATACTGTTCTGGTACTCATCCCAAAGGTCCCAACCCCGAGTCGTATTGAACAATTCAGATGTGGCATATAAAGCTCTCACCAAATGCCTTGCCGAAAAGCTCAAGCCTCCAATGTCTGCTCTAGTACATGAAATGCAGACCAACTCTATTCTCGATCGACACATAACAAACATCTACATTCTGCAGGAGGTTGTACATTCGATGAGAGCGAAGAAGGGCCTGAAGGATGGATGGTGGTTAAAGTTGATCTAGCTAAAGCCTATGATCATATTCGATGGGAGTTTGTGAGAGAGACACTCCAAGCGGTAGGAGCTCCAACGAAATTTGTGGAGGTAACGATGGCCTGTATCTCGTCGACTACAATGCAGATTCAGTGGAATGGAGGTAACGATGGCCTGTATCTTCAGGGATATCATCTATCTCCCTATCTCCTTACTCTATGTATGGAACGTCTGAGTCATCTTATTACTTATTCTGTGAGCACTCGCCAATGGAAGCCAATTAAGCTAACCAAAAATGGTCTCGAGCTGTCTCATCTATTTTTTTTTTGCAGATGATCTTACTTTGTTTGAGGAAGCATCGAAGACCAGGTTACAGCGATTGACGAATGCTTCGAGAAGTTCAGTCAGGCGTCA